AAAAAGAAAAAAAAAAGCAGCAGCAATTTTTCAGATGCAGAGAACTCAGAAACCCAGAACAGGTCAGAATGTTTTCAACACTCTGAATTTCTATTTGAAATCTCTGGGTTTATCTTTTTTTGCATACCTGACCATGCTAATATAGTCTGGCAGCGCATAGTACCCTTGAAAACACCCCAGGGTAACTAACTCAAGGTACTGTGGCAGCCTGGTTGAGAATCACTGGACTAGAGAAAATGGTGTTGGTACTGAAAATTGTCTTGTCCAGTCTATGCAACCACTAAAACAGTCTTAAAATACTGGTTAAGGGGAATTCTTGCTGAAAACCACTTTAAGTAACAGTGATTTCCATGTGTAGACAAGGTTCCATGCTAACCTTCTGATGATAACACATCAGACTTTCTTGACTGAATCTCTGACCCATTGTCTTCATCCTTGTGTGTTCTAGAGAATTAAACTGATGAGCTAGGAACTATTTAAATACAAACTGTTCATTACCCATGCTGTTCAAGCTGACTGATGTCCTGAACCATTGCAGCTTTATCCCATATCCGTATCGCTGTCTGAACAGTTTCTGTTGTAATGTTCTCTGGGTTCCTAACCCATATAGTTTCCAGAAGTGTATTTTAGGAGACTTCAAAGTTCACAGGCACACAGTGAGGAGTGAAAAGGCTTTTTGCACTATTGTATCTGTGACTTTTGTCTACACTGGCAAAGAAGTTGTTTTGGTGGAAACAGTATTTGTATTTGCTGGCTATGCTTATGATACTTAAAAAAGGAGAAAAGCTCTTTCTGGGTCCAGTGTCTTTCCATAATATTGAAGCAAAGACTACAGGAAGCCCTAGCATAGACAAGGCTTCAGCAGGCAGATCTGAGTTGGGTTTTTTTGCTGGTGCGGAGGGGTTCCTACTGTGTTAGCAAAACCTGCTGCAAATTAGAGCCTGCCTCTGCTGGGTCTTTCACCATTTTGCCTCCAGCTCAATGGAACTAGTATTAGAGTCTCAGAATTTTTTTTGGTAAGCATTCCCAGTGTAGATAAGGCTGCTGAAACTCAGTCTAATCCAAACAGTATTTGGCATCTGTGTTTTACTGGAGTACTTTTTTGTGCAGATGTGTAGTGCTTTACCAGTGTGCTGAAATATCAAGTCATCCTTAAAATGTAAAACATGTATGGTTTAGAGTAGACCAAGGGTTGGAAACCTGTTCAGGCTGCAGGCCAGATTGGCCCAGTTCGTGTCAGAGGCAGACTAGTGCATGTAAGGTGTGTGCTAGGACTCTGCAGCTGCACAGGGAAAGCACCCACCACCACTGCATTTCGCTGCAGCATGGGAAGAATGTCCCAAGACTGGCACTTGTCCCAGTAGCAGCAGGGGAGAGCAACTACTGCTGAAGCCTCCCACCACTGTGGGGAAAATTAATTGTGGCAGTTTGGTCCTAGCACTAGCCCATAGTGCATATTCCTGCCTCTGACCCAAAATGGGTTAATCCAGCTGCTGAAGTGCCACATCCATGAGCTGGATTAGATAGGTCCACAGGTGAGATCCGGCCTGTGGGCTATAGATTGCCTGACCCCTGGTTTAGATAAATCTTTTTAAGGGGCACCTTGACACGAGGAGTTCAGAATAGCTCAACGGATGGTAACATTGGTGGACTGAGTACTGTAGACTGGGCATAGGTGTCTTACCTTTAAAAATGTGTTAGATTCCTTTTTTACTAGTACAGGCAGGGACAGTGAATGATGGTGTGTGTGGTGGTTTCCACATGTCACGCAGTTCCTGTCTCTAATCTGCAATAGCGAAATTAGGATAGGCATGGGAATAAATATGCAGAGAAATTTGGGGAAAAGTTTTAAAAGAATTGTTAGAGAATTCAAGACAAAACCAGAGGTCCATAAAACATCCTCAGTTATGACTTAACATTTTTTTAAAGGTATGAGACTATATGTAGCATGCTCCAAATGATCCTGACTGCCTGTTTCACTACTATTGTGTGAAATGTCCCTTTAAGATGAAAATACCAATGATGAGTATAAGTTGTTACCTAAAACCTTATGCACCAAGTTGGTTTACATATAATCTATCACATCTGCTGTGGATCATAACTATCTTTTTTTGAAGCTTGAGGTTGTACTTGTAGGTACTTAATTAGATCTGTGACACTTCTGTCAGATTCAGCTGTAGGTTAGCTGGTCCCTGGCATCAGGTCACTGTCCAGGATTTTGTGTATTTTTCAGCACTCTGCTTCTAATTCTTCAGTATCCTCAACTTCTGAAAAACCTAAGGGTGAAAACCTATCTTAATTACTTGATAGAAGGTTGTACAGCATGCTTTTCCATGTCTTTTGGTAAGAGGGTGGCAAATTTACCAAACAGTTACAGTGCTTACTGTTGTATATGCTATCTTTCTACATCCTAGAGGCCTTGTGAGATATGGACAGAAAAAGGCTGCTCAGAGTCTTGTTATAGGAGAGTACAGTTTGGCAGCAGATGCCCTTGGAGCAGTTTATGAATGACTGACTCTCAGCCAGGCCAGAGATGATAGCCATGACTGTAAGAATGCCACTCATGCATTCTTCCAGGTGGTCATCATAAGGAATTTTTTCAGAAGTAGAAGGATCTGTCTTTTGAGAGGCATGGTCTGCCAACCAGGAGACTGCTGACACCAAAGAGAAACTGACATTCATTAGAACAGGTACTTGGTCCTTTATTATTTGAAGCTGGCTACAATATGAGAAAAGGGCTAGCTGTCTAGCTTTTAGGTACTGAATACATCAAAGGTTTTCTTTTTACTGTAGACCTAACACTATCTTGCTCCCAATATCTCTTTGAGAAATAGGGACAATTCAAGAAGTGCATTTGGATATCTGGTTCAGGATTTAATCTGTATCAATAGCTCTGATCTGATGAGATTTTTTTTTTTTTTTTTTTTTTTTTTTTTTTGACCCT